CTGTATTAAAAACAAACAAACAAACAAATTATTTCAACAAATGACAACCAAAATCAAATCCATATAGTTGTGAAAAGTTTTGAAGTGGCTGCGTGCAAGTCATGGTAATTCACAAGCAGAGTGAGTCATACTCCAAATGTAATGTTAATTATTAAATCAAACAAAGCTTTCAAAAACACTCAGCAATGTGATTATTTTATTGAGTTATAGGCAGTGGGTTTATTCAGTGACATTATTACTAGATTACTGCCAGTGTTGGTGAAAGTTACTTTTAAAAGTAACGCATTACAATATTGCATTACAACCTAAAATAGTAACTAGTTACTTCTTATGGAAAGTAATGCGTTACATTATTTTTGCGTTACTTTTTCTCACCTTGGCTGGGCTTACTTATTTGTATTTTAATAACAACAACAAAAAAAATCCGCAAATGTACAGTGATGTGAATAACGGCGTTATAAATAACGCCGTTACTAACGGCATTACTTTTTCCAGTAACGAGTAATCTAATTGATTACTCTTCTCATCTTAATAACGCCGTTACCGTTACTGCCAAAAAAAGCGGCGCGTTACTATAACTGATGAAGCTGGGTTTTTTTTTTCATCAGACCAACTAGATCTCTGAGCGAGAGGCAAATACTTTGTTTACTGTTCTTCCTTGGTTAGTGGGCAGAGCACGAGACAAGCGCATAAATGCTGACAATTGGCTGAGGTAGAGTAAAATGTCATTGTAAGCCAATCAGAGGTAGAGTTAGGCGGGTCTTCGAAAGCACGCATTGTGATGGGCATTCGGCTCTTTTGACTCAGCTCACTGAGCCGGCTCTTTTGGCTCACAAACGGCTCTTTAAATGACTTTGAATATAATATTTCAATTTTTATTACATAATTATTTAATTTCTATAGGCTAAATTTGTAAAAAATAGAGTCGGCTCTTCAGATATGCGAGATATGGCTCTTAGAGTCGGCTCATTCGCGAATCGCGAACGACCCATCAAAAGCTCATTCGCGAACGAGTCGATCCATCATCACTAACGCTCATTCGCGAACGACCGATCATAACGGCTAACGCTCATGAATTGCGAACGACCCATCATAACGCATAGTCGGACAGGACAGGACACACAAGGAACAACACACGACAGTCAGTCTTTTTGGTATATTGCTTAACAAGCTTAATTTAATTTGACCCAGTTGTGGCCTGTTGAGGGGCAATAAATATCAAAAGTTCCAAAACATCTATTGTGTTATTTGCATTGATCCACTATATAAACATAATATCTACATACATGGCATTTGATTGGAGGCTAGTCTCACTTTGTCCCACAACAACATTTTTTTTTAGATGTGTGAACATAGTTTCATGTTTCTGTTAATAATGTAGGCCTATTGTATTAAGTGTCCATTTCATTATAATATTCAGATTTATCATAAATAATTGAACATGCACATGTATGTTAAGTTCCGTTAAAGAGGGGTAGAGGTGGGGCCACATTTGAGCATTTAAAATTTAATTTTACTTGAAAGTAACGCAATAGTTACTTTCTTAAGTAACTAGTTACTTTTAAAATTGTAACTGAGTAACTAATTTAGTTACTTTTTGGAAGTAGTAACTAGTAACTGTAACTAATAACTTTTTAAAAGTAACTTGCCCAACACAAGGCCCTATCCTATCAACAGTGAAAATAATAAGCCTCAGGCTGAAATAAATGCACATTCACGCCAGTGCAGAAGAATGCGTGGTGGGGTTAAAACTTTTTTTTTTTTTTTTTCAGCATATCCATTCTGGATTGAAGAAGTAAGCAGGAGAGGAAAGTTCAAGTTCAGCAATAAATAAATGAAACACAAATGTGGTTTATCTAGTCATTTTTGTTTATTGTTATGGTGTGGGTCACTGAAGGTCAACAGCAAAGACATTGGCTAATAAAGTGAGATTAAATACATAAAGTATATTTGTGTAATTTAATATATTTAATTATTGCAGGTTTGTGTGATATTCTGAGATTGTATTTCACTGTTTTTATTCATTTTGAGTAATAGTACTAAATTTTTGTTTTTTTATGCAAGTGAGAGAATAAATGGCTGCTCACATTTATTCTAAAACTACAATAACCATCATGTTGACACAGCGAACTCAATGCCTGTGAACTTACGATTTCTCTCAACATGGGGACAGGAGGACTGCAAGTCAATAAATGGAATAACAAAGTAACTTGTTACTTATTTGAAAAAGTAGCATATTTTGTTGTAAATTTAAAAGTACTTTAGTAGTTACTTGAAAAAGTAATCTGATTACATAACTCATGTTACTGCATTACACCCCCAACACTGATTATTGGCCTAAACTCACTAGCAGAAAGGCAGCGCAAACCAGACCAGAACTCGACACAGCATCTTCACATTCTCTATATCTCCTGCCTCGATGGCAGGCAAGTGTTTCAATTCAGTCGTAAAATCGCTCCTCTTCATAACATGGGGATCACGTCCAACATTTGTTGTGATTTTTCTGTTTATACCTTTCTAAACCAGCACAGTACAGACTTCCCTCCATCTCGTCCATTCTGCTTTTCACTTCCTGTCCTCCATCTGCATTTCGTCATCAGAATCACATGTCTGCAAACAAGCTATTGGTGATTATGGAGCTCAGCCATGTTATGTAGGTATGGCTCACATGACATCCCCTCTTTCAATGCACGTCTATGCAATTTGGGCCATTTTATTGTTGGCCAGAAAAAAAAAAAAGTAAAGATAATTTAAGGAATCATTCTTTTTTGTAGAACAACCATTGCAAGATTTACAACATCAATACTTGAAATTGTGTCAGGTTTGTTTAGATCCCTAACCCACGATAAAATTATGATACCATAATAACAAGTCACTAAATAATACTTGAAATGTCTCGTTGCTGCACTTGGAAAGGAGACACCTTGAACATACAGTTAGAGTCATGTTTATTTACAGCAGAATCCTGACTGAGGAGAAGAAAGGTTATGAGAGCTGAAATGCTTTCAGTACAGCTCATTTGGATCCACATTTCACTACACCTTTTAATTTATTTATTCAAATTTTTATACAGAATTCTTTCGGCTGTTAATGTCGTCAGCCAAACAGAGCTTAGCGCCCTCTACAGGCAGGGAGGACGATGAAAAAAAAAGAAAAAAAGATCGAAGTACAAAATGAAAAACCACATCATTAAATGGGAAAGTTGAGAAAAATACAAACAATGCGATAAACCAAAAGAAACAAAAAAACAAAACAAAAGCAATCTTCCATTTAAAATTTTTTTTACATTTGCATTTATTTTTAAATGCAATCACCATGATCGTCATTTATATTGTTCTTTTTTTCTTTTCTTGTAATGTCTATAAGGGAGGCAGAGGGACAGTGAGGAGGCTTGTGGGTAAAACAACATCCGTGATGCTCAGGTTAACTGTGTCCCAATGCCACGCAAATGTTCATATTGAATATTCAGGCAACACACTGCCAAAGTTTGCGCGGGGTCCACACCGGCAGCGGGGGTCAGAGCGGTCCGGACTTGTTGCCCCTTCTCCGTTTTATGCATTATCTTGTGCGACTGTTTGTCCACGACCCCGTGTCTGCGTCTCAGTTTCAGTGTGTCGCACTAACGCGCTTGCCCTGAAAACGCAGCTTTGAAGAACGACACGCTGTACAACTGACATGCAAGGCCAGACGACTAACAGATTAAAAAACAGGTAACAACAGGTAAAAAAAAGAAAAGAAACAAAAAAGCAAACCTCAAGAGACTGAGCCAGCAAAATGCATTATTTTCTACAACATTACACACACACTCTCAATCAATCCCACAGAACTCACTCCTCAATTCCAGTTTCATCATTACGGAGCCAATTGTGTAGAAGGAATGACTACAAACAAAACAAATTAATGCTTGAAATACTAGTGGAGAAGAAGAAGAAAAAAAAACTCGGCCTTAAATAACGGAGCTTAGTACAATCCTTAAAGATTCCCTCCAGGAGCATGATAGAGTTCATCTTCAGTGGTCCATCCAGAGCCCCATGGCATACATTCAGACATAAACACAAGCACTCCCTTCTCTTCAATGGCCGACTTGCGCAAGCGGTCCATGTGCGATGTTTCATCGAAGAGGATGTGTACATCACGCAAAAAAAAGTGACCTAGGCTGAGCTCTTAGACTCATTTATAGGGGGAAACAAAAAAATATTTCCGTTTATGACTCCGTTAGGATCTAAAAGCCCTTGCCCTTGTTCGCACACGCACGCGATCTCACGCACACCTCGACATGATAACCCCTAATACATGTGTACACATATATACATAGAGCTGTACGCCCCCACAATTTATAATGCATCATTTCTGTATTATGCCAAGAATAAAATCTTTCTAAATAAAATACATGTTTCTGCGAAGGAAGGGGTGGTTAGAGAGGGAGACGGGAAGGTGGATGCGGGTGGGGTATTATCGGAAAGGGAAAGAGGAAGAGAGAATGAAGGAAGGGGGGGGAAACAACGCTGTCCTCTAATGTGTGCTGGTCCCTTACAGGGTCATCGTCATCCCAAGCTGTGGCAGAATCCATGTTCCTCATCCACAGTTCGCTTAGAGAAGTAAATATGAAAGAAATCTCAGTCTGTAAATCCATAATGGCGCAACAAAACGTACAAATGGAAACACACTTGGAGCTCAAAGGGGCTCCGGTCACGTCCAGACAAAGACTGATCCGGTAAAGTGTGGCTGAGTTCAGTAGAACAGGAAAGGGATGATGGGATAGAAGAGAAAAAAAAAAAAAGAGCGAGAAAGAGAGAGATGGCGTGACAAACATGGAATGGAGCCGAGAAAGAAAAGAGTTAAAGAGACAGAAACTGTAGTAGGATAGAGACGTGTGGAGCGCATGAATCCATCTGGCAGTGAAGTCCGCGTACGTCTGTTCATCCGCTGGCTGGAGGATGACAACAGGAATGAGGGATGACGAGAAGACGAGTGCAGTTCCTCTCTTCCGACCTCTCTCTCTCTCTCTCCTTCTCTCTCTCTCTCTGTGCTGGTCAGAGCAGCATCATACCTCCAGGAAGCGTGTGCTGCTGGCCTTGGTGTGGAAGGGCTCGGACCACATGCGGCGCAGGTCCCCCTGTGGAGCGACACACACCCAAACAATTAACACCCGTTCACACTGAACGTTAGGGCCAGGGAAACCAGCGCGCAGAGCGATCTTTAGAACGGTGTCTTTGGACCTCAGTGTTTGGTGTAGCTCTGTATATTTCTCTGGCATTGCTTCCGAAGAGTAATTGGCAGGTGAAGTGGATTTACTTATTGTAGAGCTAATGAAAGTTATCATGAGAATTGTAATGTTTGCAGCGGATGTCATAACAGATGTCAGATTTTAAAATGATCGGTTCATTCATAACCTGTAAGATCTTCCCTTCATGCTGTGGAAATACAAACCGGAGGACAGAACACAGCGAGCGCAGCACTAGTGCTATTGTGGATATACAAAGGCTGTGATTTGATTGAATAAATATACACTGTTTTATTTACATACGCGTTCACAGTAAATGCTACTCCACATGAACTGTTATTTACATATGTAAAGTGCATCTCAAACTCAAACATTTCTGCATATGCTGTGAGTTTGGGTTGCTTATAACGCTCATCTGGGAACGCAATATGCACCATTTAATCAGATTTGTAAGGAAAATCTTTTATCCAACACAGGAGAATACATCAATATCTTTCTAAATATGCAAACGGTTCATCACAATTTCAAAACAAATGTCCACATATTCTTGTTCAAGAAATTACAGTGGCCAAGGACGAAAGATTAAGTAAACGTTTGAATTAAAGGATTTGATTTGCTGTAAAGTGTTACACCAGGCCGCTGGCGCCCTCTGCAGGCATTTGTTATAATAAATAATGGACATAAGATGATTGTTTGTATTATGCATTTTATATGATGTATTTTAAAGCTGCAGTCCGTAGCTTTTTTAAGTTAAAAATAATCCAAAATAATTATATAAAAAAAAAACTTATTCTGCCAGTGGTCAAAACTCTCTGCTTGCCATAGCTAGATTCAAAACGGTTAGCTTGTAATAATGATTTTAATTCCAGTGGTACTGGTGGGTGTCCGCGGGAAATTCGAGCATGTCTTTGCGTCATGACGTCACACCCGTACACATAAAGAAGGAGTTTCGGCTAGCCGGCTATACTGCGCGTGACGAGATGTTTAGATGTATAGGCTTTTCTCGCAGCACTTTACATAATTAAACTTATGGCATCCAGAAAGATCCAAACAACAATCATCAGTGTCAACTGGAGATTCAGCAGTTATAAAACCCAAAAGACTTCGTACTTCGGATTTAAGGTGGCCAGAGAAAGAGAAAGAAACCGTCTCATGCGAACACAAGGATTTAAACATCGGCGGGGCTTTTGAAAAGTGCTTGAACTCCGTGTTTTGAAGGGGTTCAAAACGGAAGAAGAGATTTCAATAGTTCAATCGTGTAACAGTACGTTTTCTTAATTCACACAGTTATGGAGTTTCCTTTGTTGTGCCTTTCTCGTTTTGCTATTATGGAGAATATGAATTCTGAACTACACAGGTAACCATAAAACACATTAAATTTAACATTAGTCACGCAATGCTGATGTTGTTAACATGAACAATTTGAGAACAAAGAAGGCTATAATTTGCACGGTTGCTGTAAATCGCATTGATTAAATCTAACGAAGCTTATCATGTCGAATGCTTTTTCCCCCTTAGTTGGTCAGAACAAAAATGGATGTTACTTACTTGTTCAGAAGACATTTTCTTATGAAAATTCTTATGTTGGTCAAACTTTCAAAAAGTGAATCTGTGATTCTGTATGACAGTATCCACACAGCGCGGTGACTGACAGCAGCACTCGCCTCAAAGCACTGTGTTCATCCGCGCTGTTTCATGCCGATTTACAACCCACGTAAAGATGATAATTCCGCGAATCACTGCAGTTACAGATTTCGAACAGAGAGATGGCGACAAAGAGGAAAAGATACGGACTGCAGCTTTAAGTGTTTTTCTATAAAACTGATTTCTGCTTTTTATACTTTATTTGAACCAAATATGATTAGTGACAGCCCTACAGTGATGTCATGTGACAAAGACATAACATTAATACAAGCTTCTCTCTCAATGGTCAATGTTTTTTTTTTTTAAATAAAAATAAAATAATGGTAATAATGATAATAACCAGCAGTAATAAATAATTTAAAATGATTATTTAAAGCTGGAAATCTGCAATTGCAGTCATTCGCAGAATTATCAACTTTACGTGAGTTGTACTTCGACACCCTCGACACGGCACAGCACAGATGAACACAATGTTTGAGGAGACTGTGAGGCTGTCAAGTCACCGCGCCTGTGTGGATACTGTCATTCAGAATCACAGATTATTCTTTTTTGGAAGTATGACCAACATAAGAATTTTCACCGGAAAATGTCCTCTGAACTAGCAAGTAACATCCACTTTTGTTCTGGTTCTGACATTGTTAGATTTAATCGGACTGCAGCTTTAATTAACTTTTACTTTACATTTTTTGCTTATAATTTTAACTTGCATTAGTCTATATTAAGTTTTCATTTTTCCACATTTTTGTCAACCTATTAAAAAAATTAATAGGTTCATATTTTATTGTTATTTCTGTAGTTGTTATATAATAATAGCCAATTCAATTATTTATTTTGTTGAATAGGTCAATAATTGTTTTTTAATGCACAAAAAAGTAAATAAAACTAAGACGTATGCAATGAAAAATGTACAAGAAAATGTACATTGTTCAAGTAAAAAGTAGAATAAAATTCAATAATAACATTAAATTAAAAATAAAGTTCAATCAGAAGTAGTTCCTTAATTTCTTTTGGTTTAGTAACTAAACTAACTTTTTTTTAATCTTACTTGTAAAATATATTGCACATAATAAGTAGCATTTAAAAATATAATTTCTCATCTGCTATATCTGGGCTGAAATGTTTAATTAGATGAATAAAGTACATTCAATAAATGGTCTGTGTGAATGGACTCAACCATGTGATAAAAACATCCTTTCACAACAGGAACAGATTCCTTCATTTCTGCACATTCATTGGACCCATTATCCACCATTATCTGGAGTGCACACACACAGTACACTTAAATGCGTTATATTCGGAGTTACAAGAGGCTTGTGTATTCAAGTATTTATGCTCCCATCAATGTTGTTCTTCTATAAATATGTAAATTAAAAATAGCACAAACCTGTGCAAATCAATTTACACACACCATAATTAGATCCTCTTGTTATTAACGCCCATTCACTTTCTTAAACACACAAACAAAATTTCTTTGTCAACAAGCACACACACGCTTACTTTGCCTCACCTTCTCTACTGTGTTTGCACAGCAATCAATATCACTTTTAAGAGTCAGAAAGGTTTCAATAATACGTTCAATTGTGCAGAAGTGCTGACGAAAACAGCACAAACCTATGTGGTTCTTCTTACATCAATGATTACGTGCCTTTTCAATCCATGAAGGTCACACACACACAGTCCTATTAAAAACATCACTAATACCAATTAGAATACAGGACAATACATTGTCTCACACACACGGAAAAACACAGCTTCCTTTTTGAGAAGATGGGTTTCGAATCAAATTTGTTCTAATGCTAATTTGCTCTGCCTACTTCTGTTTTTTGGCACACGCAACATACTTTAAAAGATTTCATCTTCTTGACGGTTATCACAGGTCCAACAAGTACTAAAGCATACCTTGACACACAAAAAGCATAGTATTTTGTGCCATGCATATGATCTAACATGAACGGTTTGGGTTTAGCATTTAATGAACGTTTGGACGATGTCATGAACCAAGTCCAAGCTGGTCAAGCTCCATGTAGCTACTGTAACAGCATTTCACCACTGTGTGCAAAATCGTTCCCACAATTGTTGGTTTCCATGAAAAAGTGAGGCTGTTGCTATGGCGACGGCACTACACAGAACTGATCAGATTATGTTGCAACACATGCAGAACAAAACATCCGCCACAATGAAAACCGGCCTACAATTGATGCCTCAATAGAAGGAATGCGGAGTACCCGCACAGACATACATGTGCTAGCGCATAAATAATGCAGCGCAGTGCTACGGATACGGCACACACCCTGCTCAAATAACCGGACAACGACACCACGTAGACTTCTGCATTGTTTCTAAGCAAGTGAGTAAACGACGATTCCACAAAATGAAGTTGACACCGTTTGGACGTTATTAGAAATGAGGCATCTCGCGTCCCTCTGAACTTTCAGGTGTCGGCGCAAACTGACGTACCTTCAGGTAGGCCATGGTGAGCAGAGGCAGCAGGGTGAAGGGCACCAGGTACAGGAGGGCAGGCTGGGCCGCGCGGTGAATACGAGAAGCCACCGTCGCCGTCAACAGACCTGAGAGTGGAAGAGAGAGAACCATCAAACGTGTGTTGAATCCACAGTCGATACAATTACATCAGCGCAACCAGTGTAGTCTGTTTGCGGAAAGAATAAGCTGGCTTTACAGTGAATCAGAAACGAACAGCGCAACCAGAGTAGTCCAACTGATTCCCAAACAAATGACTCTTAAGAGTTAATCAGAATCATACAACACAAACAGCATAGGTTGACCAATTGACAAACAAATGACTCTAATAATGAGTCTTTCAGACTACTTATCAGCACACAGACAGAGAGATAAACCGATGATAGACTGATAGATAATAGACAGACAGAACGACAGATAAACTGATCGGACAGATTTCTAGCGATAAATTATTCTGTTATTAATCACAATCTTAATAGGAGGGTGTGTTTGGATGATAGCGTTGTGACACGCACCAACAAAGTAACCAATGAGGGTGCAGTGGAAGTAGGAGACCCGCTGCATGCGGCCGGACACGTTGGCAGTCCCGGGCACTTCTCCAGAAGCCTGCTTCTTATAGTTGTCGTATCGGAGCACGAAACACAGCAGCAGACCCGGCATGACGATATCACCGATGCCCAGCATGGAGAAGTGGCTCCCGGTGGAGCTCGGGAACACCAGCTTCCCGGGCAGGGAGAGGCGCGGGACGTCCCGCCCCATGCCAGGGCCCAGATGCAGTTTGCGCGAGAGCACGTCGAGGGGGTTGTCGGCAGGTTGCGTGGCCACCTTGACCATCACATTGCTGTTGAAGATGTAGGCGGAGAAAAAGACCTACAGGAGAGAGAGGGAGATGAGTCAGAGGGACAGGCCAGCTAATAAAGCATCTGTTAAACGGCAACTCGCAAGCAAATAAGTAAACCGTTACAGGATTCCTTTAATATTTTGTAACTATCGCGTGAGCTGTAATTACAAGTTTTATGACACCAGCAGGGTGGAGTGGTACAGAAGTTCACACCATGTGATGATAGACGTGCCAGTCTTATGGACATGATTACTTTACAGTATTTGCATGTAAGAGTGAGAAAGAAACATGGAAGAATGTGAAAATTCAGAGCAGGATGTTTCCTACACTGTCAAGACAAGGAAGAACTTGTTACTCAACAAAGCACATGCCATTTTTACAGCTGCCAATCACCACTTGCCGCACTAATATAGAAAGCAATAGAGAACATGATGAAGTGTGTATATTTTAAAACAAAGTCAAGAGTATCCATTCGTGCCTGTGGAGTAAATACCACTCACGCAGAGCGTGACATGTTACATAGTATACAAATAGTACATTGTGTTTAATTTGTCGTTTAATGAGATCTAATATGTTGTTAGTGGTGAGAATTTTCACGTGATTAAATACATAGATCCGACTATTATCCCCATGTACTTTAATGGTCCAGTGGCAGAACTTTTGCCAAGCGTGTCAGAGGTTCTGGGTTCTAATCCACACTAAGTATAGCTTTTTTTCCTCATCAAAACCGATTGTTTATTAGTGGTTGTATATCAAGCAGGGACACGTTTTTTTTTGTGCATTAGGTTTTGTGATTTCACCGTAACAAATATAGAGAGTCTCTCCGCAACGGATTGAAGCGCGCGTCCGTGTGAAGACTGTGCGCGTCACAACAGAACACTGTATCGGCGCCACTGATCGCAGCGGCAACGAGCACTTTGGTCACTTGATTTCAAAAACAACATTTTAGATCGCCTCTTATTTAACAAACGAACTAAATGAATGCTCTACTAGAGTTAACTGGAGATGTTTTATTTGTTTGTATTGGTACATCCAGTGTTTCCCCTATCATTGTTTTGGGGGGGCGGCCCGCTGACGAAATCCAGTCATAAAAAAGGAATGTACTGTATAACGCGGAATTTCACGGAATTTGTAAATTTGAGGAAAAAATAGAAAGCAGTTCAGTACACTTGAAATCAAATCGTGATGTAGACTAGTGTGTGTGAATATTAAAACACAAAGACTATTTAAATACGAATCCCTCATGTTCTGTGTGAATGAATGATGCCGCCGACGCGCAGTTTCATTTACCACACACACTGAAGCACGTGTGACGCTTGCGCTGTTTTTTGGCCTATATGAAGACACAAATGCATGAACTTCCTCTCCAGGCTCTAGATCCACTCTGAAAGTCACTTCGTGATCATTTCACGGCTTCATTTGAGAAAAACTATCATCATGACAAACACACAGAAACTCAAAAGGTCTTCACGGCAACCCGTCAAAATAAAAGTTCGGTGACACAAATGACAGAAATGTATTACTGTTGAACATTAGAATTTAGATATGTCCCAATGTAATAATACACTAATCCAAATAAATTATCATCAAAACTGACAATAAGGAATAATCCATGTTTTAATTTTAACAGTAAAGCTCATTGTGCAGCAAGTTATTTGACAAAAAATGTATTTAATTTCATGATTAAAATTGATGATAAATGATAAAAATTTGTGTGTTTATGTCTTCATTTTATTACCAGAAAAAACACAACACAGAATTAGTGTGAATTTTTTTTTCATACATTTAAAAAAAAAAATGTTGTATAAGTTTAATGATTCATAATACATGATTTCAATTAATTAGACATGCTTTTTGATTGCAAAAAAAATTTACACCACGTATCCGTAACACGCCCGCTCCGAAAAAAAATCCAAGGGGAAACACTGACATCCGTGCCACGAGATGTTTCAATGGGGACATTTCACACCCGCAAATTACGCCTATGCTCGTGTCTGACTCCTCGCTCAGTCAGTCTGCCGTTTCCTCTTTCTCTGTTCCTCCGACAATGCTTTCCTAGCTTTCTGCTTCTTATATGCCGGCTCAGCCATGACGATAGTGTGACAAACTCCATCCCTCCCTACCTTGTTCCTAGATGGGGGCGTGTATGTGTGCAGTGCCGTAAAGGAATATGTTACATCGCGAGAGCTGATATCACGCGATACTTCCTGACGCTGAGGCCGGCGGCCCGCCGGACCAAAGTTGCAAGTGAGGTTTCTCTGCTCACAGGCACCAGGGCGAGACGGCCACCATTCAACCCGAAAGAAGTCATATAACCATTTCAATAACTCCGAAGCTGTTCAGTTAAGCTAAAAAAACTGCATAGTGCCCCTTTAAAATTAAATTCCACAATACAGAGATTTTGAACTAATGCTAGGCTTATTTTTTTATGAATAATTATATTGCTTGGTTTGAATTCAAGTTCCTAATAAATAAATAAACGGTAACTTCTGAACTATTTAATTTACTGGATTATCTAAAAATTCACAAATAAAATTAAATAAAAGATGATCTTAACAAAGATCATCTTTTCTTCATGTTTTACCATATACATTTTGTTTGTTTGTTTAAAAGCAAAGACTCTTCATACAAATATTCTAGGGCCCATGAAATATTTGTGAAAATGATAAAAAATGCTGGCGAAGGCAACTTAAAAAAAAAAAACATTTAGCAAAAGCATTTAGATCAACAGGTCTATATAAACTTGTAACACCGATTGGGCTGAACGTTACAAACTTGCCTAAACCTTAGACTGGTAGTGTATATGCACAATTGCACTACTGTGACATTAAATTATTTATGGCATGATTTAAAGACTTGCGCCCATCCCTCGGAACCAGTGTGACTTGCTGCATTAATTGCTTACCCAGAAGACATCATAGATGAGGAGGCCTGACAACAGCAGGCATGACACCTTGAGACTAGGCAGCCGCACGAATGCGATCATGGCCACACAGAGACCCATGGCAAGTGCTGCAGGAAACAACAACACAATATTGAGAGCAAAATAACACCACAGAAAAGGTGGTAAGAGGTAAACTAGAGGACACGTTTACATTGTCTGTGTGTGTGTGTGTGTGTGTGTGTAGGAAGATAGAGTAACAGCATGCTGACGCACCATCCATTAACAGCCAGTGGCCTGTCAGCACCCAGATGAGAACCAGCAAGACAGAGAGAGAAAAAGACAGCAGCTCCGCTAATGTGAATCGGCCACAGCAGCCGAACGAGATCCTGCAGAGAAAAGAGACATGCTGAATACACTTCCAACCACACATCACCTGGCTGGGACATGAGGCTCTCTTTCACACCCCAGCATCTGATTTCGAACACTGTTGTCCATTAATACACAAGAGGATTGTTCCACCCAGAGCAAAAAAAGAAAAGATTCTAGATTACATTGTGAAATTGAGTGAAGCTGCACGACGAATCCCTACGAACAAACACGAGCAATATCAGTTTCAAAAAGCCTATTTTGTATGATTTGGAGCATTCTATCAGGCAAAAAAAAAAAATTTGTTAATAAATTGCTTTTGACATTAAAGGACAAGTTCGGTATTTTACACTTAAAGCCCTGTTTTAAGATCGTTTCTGAAGAACGGTTAAGATTGAAATTTGGACACATGCTGCTGGCCCGAGAATTTTCGGTTTCTGTGGTTGCACCCCCCCCACCTCCACAATGGTTGGCATAGGTGCACTGGAATAATCCTTCATAAAACGCATTCAACTTTAGTTTACAAAGACGTGAAACTCACCGAGTGGTCTGGGGTGTTCACTGATATGCTCACACAAAAATCGCTGCAAAAGATGCTTTCCAACAGCTTTTATCGTAGTTTTTGTCCAAGTCAGACTCGGTTACAATATATTTTTAAACCATCTTATAACATCGAAAAAAAAAAAAAGGCATATCAAGATTGCGTATACCAAGTAAAAGTTCTACTTTTAAAACCATAATAAAAATACAATAATAAAAAGGTAAATGACATTTGACATTGCCGTAATTAATGTTCATCTATATAAACCATGTCGGGCCAGCAGCATGTGTCCAAATTTCAATCTTAACCGTTCTATTTCATCAGAAACGATTTTAAAACAGGGCTTTAAGGGTAAGATACCGAACTTGTCCTTTAAAAGGGTTCGCACACCGGATGAATGTTTAAAATGCAAACACATTGACTATGAGTGTATGCACAATTTCTCCCAAACTGTCATTAATGTACATACTGACTTCAACTTGTGCTGCAAGATACATTTAGTTTTACAGCTTGAATAAAGTCTAAAAACCCTTTCTAATCTTTCATTTTGCCCTGTTGTCTATTTATTTATCCACTAATCTAAAAAAAAAGCATATTTAATTTTTTGGTAACTTTTGCCTTAAGTGTCACAAACCTCTGATTCTTTAAATACAAAATACGGAAACCAGCTGCGTGAAGGAAGATTGCTGATGAAATAGGATTTCCAGATTAGACTCAACTAATTCAGTTATGGTATGCCCAGAGGTAAACTGTTCAGTCCAACAATTATATTTAATTGTTTAGTACAATCAGAACATAACGTACAATACAGAGATTATCTTAATTTCATAATGTCCTTAAATATAATACTGTTGACTACCAACTGACAATAGTATGTGCAAGAGATGCGCGGTTGGCGGTTACAGCCGCGGACTCCGCGGATCGGGCGGATGACGTGACGAAAAAAAATATTTTAATTAAATTCGGGCGGGTGGTTGAACCAATCAAATGACAAATATATGTATACATTGTTAAATATTGTTATCTGACTATACCTACATCCAAAAAAAAAAATTGAGCACACTCTATGCAGAGACTGCTTGTTATTATCAGAGATGGCAACGCCGGCGAAGGAGGTACGTGACAAAATCAAAAAAGGAGAATTAAAAACAAAGGAAATAGAAGGTCAAAAAAGTGTTGCCTGGAATAAGTTTTACAAAGTAGTAAATCAGGATGACACCAGTGCAAGCTATGTCCTATGTCATTTGCAAAACCTGCGAAGCAGTTTATGTTCATGACAGCCACAAGACGGGTACGTCTAATATGGTGCAACACAAGTGTGCTGCTAAACCTCAAACCTCCACGAACACCTTGACAAGTTTCGTCCGTCGAGATCCCAATAGAGTACCACAGGATGTAAAATCAAAGCTGACGGATGCATGTGTGAACCTGTGCTCTCTTGCGCCCGTTCGATATTGTTTCTGGTAGAGGATTCCACCAAGTGGCCCAGACGTTGATTGACATTGGAGCTAAGTTCGGTGCTGTTGACGCTGGACGACCCTGTTCTGAAGACTCCCGTTAATTTTGAATGCACGGGAAGAGAGCGGAGAGCGCGTCTTTTTCAGGCACAGTGCAATTCATTTTCTACCCTCAACAGGCCTAACAATCATATAATAAACTATAGAGCCTCGATATTAAAGAAACGCCGAAGTCACTATAGGCTTTTTCGTTGGTGCGCCATCAGCTATGCCTACAAAAGACAGATGAAATCTAATAATAATTGATCCATGTCGGTATACACAGCCTAATATTTTATAATGAAAAATAGCCAACACAATCAAGATAGACTATTTACTTTATTTATTAAATCCATGAAATTGGTTAATGAAACATGGATTAAAATTAAGATACAATTAATACAAAACGAAATTCGCTTTAAAGAAAGGCTTTGTGCTTCTGTTTGAGGTCTCTGTGAAAGTTTGAAAGTCTTTTAGTGCCGCTTTTAGAGTGGTCGCGTCCGTAATGGAGAACTGTCACGTAACGTTGTTGTTTTGAAAATTGGTCAAAAACGTTGGTGCGGATGGATGAGTTTTGTGATGCGGTTGCGGATGAAATAATAGCCCATCCGCGCATCTCTAGCCAGCTGATGTGTGACACCTCAGAGTTGTCCTAGACGCCACGCTGCGCAACCACCCTTAAAGGGTTAGTTCACCCAAAAATGAAGATTATGTCAGTAATTACTCACCCTCATGTTGTTCCAACCCCGTAAGACTTTGGTTCATCTTCGGAACACAAATTAAGATATTTTTGATTAAATCTGAGAGCTGGATCACTCCTCCATAGGCTTCTAAGGGATCTAAACAAAAGTTAGTAAAGACATCGTTAAAATAGTCCGAGTGACTACAGTGGCTCAATCTTAAGTTTATCAAACGACGAGAATACTTTGTGCGCAAAAAACAAACAAAAATAACGACTTTATTCAACTATTCATTTCCTTTTCGGTAAAGCTTCTAGGTTGTACGTTGTAAGTACAACCTAGAAGCTTTGCGTAGTTTCACTACGTGAAATGTCGAAGCCCACAGAGAAGGAAATGAATAGTTGAATAAAGTCATTATTTTTGTTTGTTTTTTTGCGCACAAAGTATTCTCGTCGCTTGATAAACTTAAGATTGAGCCACTGTAGTCACTCGGACTATTTTAACGATGTCTTTACTAACTTTTGGGCCGGCCAGTTTAGATCCCTTAGAAGCCTATGGAGGAGTGATCCAGCTCTCAGCGGCGCACACTCTGACGTCGCAAGGCAAAAACCCCGGTTTCACTGTAACCGGCGTTTCTGAAAATCCTCACCCTGGCAGGGGTTTTCAAAAATGTTCGGTTTCAGTGCGTTTCCGTGTGAACGAACCGCGTAAAAAAGTAGTCACGGTTATAAAAATGCCCGTGTCCGTGTGGACAGGGCCTCAGATTTAATCAAAAATATCTTAATTTGTGCTCCGAAGATGAACGAAAGTCTTACGGGGTTGGAACAACATGAGGGTGAGTAATTACTGACACAATTTTCATTTTTGGGTGAACTAACCCTTTAAGGCTAAACATAGACCCCAGTGTATATAAAACATTTTTTTTTATGTCTGAGACCACTTTTTCCCCATTAACACCTGGAAATGTAAAGTTTAGGATTTTGACAAATGTAAACTTATGATGTAAAACAAAGAAATATTTCAGATCTGCGCTATTCAAACCTAAGCAAAATTTATGGCATTGACCGTGTTCGCTTCTGATAAACTTAAAGTAGAACTCCGGCGCAAAATTAACCTTTGGTCTAATAAAACATTGGTACCTAGTCAACCGTCCTCTGAGAATTGTTTTCATGATAATCGAATGTAAAGAGCTTTATCTCTAAAAACTGTTTAGCGTATAACGCTAGTAATGGGGGCATTTAATAAGTAAAAAGAAATCGCTAGTTAATACCACTAACAAGGCTCAAAATAGCCCCACACTAACACGGTAACATAATGAGGGTCCCTACATGCAAAACGAAGCATTGAGAACTTTGTAAGTGTACAGACAGTTTAATAAGAAGATAAAGATAAAGATGAAGTTCAGTGCACTTCTCCTGTCTATATACACGAAGTGGACTGTCTTTATCTTTATCTTCTTATTAAACGGTCTGTTGTTACAGGTATGTTAGCCTGGATGTGAGGATGTATTATTAATTCATTTGTTAAAAGAGTGTTCCCCTTGTGTGTCTGACCCAGTCATTGGTCTGACCTGCCCTGTTAATGTTACAGGAATAAATGGTTACTGAGTAAACCTGCCAAGTCTTTTTTTATACAAGGACAGTTTTCATCTATAGTTGACTTGACCGCTACAGTGGCATAACAGATTAACAGCAGAGTATATCATTGTACTTTTTGAATTTTCTTTTATTCTGTGTTTATACTATCATATTTGGAAAGGTGGTCCTCGGAATGTTTTTATACAGTCATTGGTGGGCCAATAGTTGCAAAAGGTTGAGAACCCCTGTTTTAAATGACACACTGTAGAAGTTGGGATGGGAATATGAAAAGGCATCCACATGTAGGGTTGCAAAAATTTAGAGAATTTTTAAAGGTGAAAACTTTCCTTGGGTATTAACTAGGGATGTCCCGATCAGGTTTTTTTGCCCTCGAGTCCGAGTCATTTGATTTTGAGTATCTACCGATACCGAGTCCCGATCCGATACTTATATAATACATTAAAAAAGAATAAAGAAGAGCGAAAAAAATAGATCCAGGATATTCCTTATTTTTTATTTAATTCACCCTATGTTAACAAACAGAGCACTTCTGTGAGGTAGCTTGAACAATCAAGTAATAAATAACATAAATTCTTCACTTTTGGACTTTAGTGCAACAATAAATATAGAAAAAGTCTAATATAAAAACAAATAGCACCTCAACTTGCAGGCATGTAAACAAAAAATAAAAAGTCTTTAAAAAAAGGGAAAAAAAAGAGAATATATATATATATATATATATATATATATATATATATATATATATATATATATATATACATTAGGGGTGTAGCAGTTCACAAAATTCACGGTTCAATACGATACAGCAAAAAGAAAGAAATGTCCTATTTATTAAAAGAAAAAATATTTTTAAATAAGTTTGAGTTTTCCTACATCTTGAAACTTTCAGGTTTATAAATGGGGGCAATCTTTGAAGGATGAACAAATAATGTTTTGGTAATCACATTAAAAATAACATTTAAATATATATTTATATAATATTTGAGTTTTGAAGTGCAACATTAAATCCATGTTCATTCACGCACAATGTTTCTCCTGATTCCCATGTCAGCGCTGTTTGATCTAATAGAGATCTACGGTTAATAACGGAGAAATGTGAATGCTTCTCACTAGATCTCGCAGCGATGTTATTACCTCAGTGGCGAATTCAAATGTTTTCTTCACTGGATCTCTTAGCACAGTGTCGCTTGATCTCGCGCTGTACAGATGTGGTCCGAACTGATAAACGGTCCGTGAAGCACAATATAATGAGTAGCGCAGTTTCGTTCCGCTTTCATTACGTTTGCCATTTGATGTTGCGCAACAGTGTGGTGATCGCGCCAGCGCGGATTTTGTCGGCAGAAAAATGGTCCAAGGAATCGTTCGGTTTGTATGCGTACCGAACTGGAAGCCTCGAACCGAAACGGTTCAATAATTATGAATACATGTACCGTTACACCCCTAATTTACATATATCCGAGTCCTGATCGGGAGGTAACGTCCGATTCCGATCGAGTCTGAAACCACGTGATCGGGCCCGATTTCCAATCGCGTGATCGGATTGGGACATCCCTAGTATTAACAGGAATATATGGAAATTAATAGGAATAAACTTGACATTTGCAAAATTGCAATTAGCCTAGAACTTAATTGCAGTTGAAATAAATATTTATTTATTTTTGCTAAAAAGGTTTATCTACATTATTATTATCATTATTTACATCAGATCTTCAACACTGTTCCCGGGGACCCACTGTCCTGCAGAGTTCAGCTCCAACCATATTCAAACACATCTGACGCGGCTCATCAAGCTCTTCAGGGTCACTTGAAAATACATATATGGAGGTGTGCTGAAGCAGGTTGGAAATAAACTTTGCAGGACAGTGGGTCCCCAGGAACAGGGTTGTTGACCTCTGATTTACATTATCTACATTTAAAGGGTTAGTTCACCCTAAAATTAAAATATTTCATCATTTACTCGTGTCGTTCCAAACCTTTATGACTTTTGTTCATCTTCGGAACACAAATAAGGACATTTTTGATGAAATCTGAGAGCTTTCTACCCCTCCATTGACAGTCTACACAACTACCACTTTCAAGCCTCAGAAATGTAGTAAAGACATCATAAAGTTGAGGTTAAACCACTGGAATCACATGGATTACTTTAATGAAGCGACGCGGGTGCTTTGTTTGCGCAAACATAACTTACCACTTAATTTACAAAATACTAATATTATTAAGAACGTCTGCTCTCGCGTGCGTCCTGATGCTCTCGTAAACGCGTTGGGAGAATAATATTTTGTACATAAAGTGTTAATTGTGTGATGGGGGTTCGCGAACAAAGCACTCGCGTTGCTTCATAAAGGTTCATGAGGTTAAACCACTGGAGTAACATGGATTGGTTATTGATGTCTTTGCTACCTTTCTGGGGCATGAAAGTGGTAGTTGCGTAGCTGTCAATGGAGGCACAGAAAGCTCTCAGATTTCATCAAATAGATCTTCTGTGTTCTGAAGATGAACGAAAGTCTTACGGGTTTGGAACGACATGAGGGCGACTAATTGATGACAATTTTAATTGTAGGGTGAACTATCCCTTTATTTTAAACAACAATTAAAGAACATTAAATTAAATGTAGAAATAAATTATATCTACATCTTTACTATAATTAATAAAAAGCTGTCATCACCGATTCATCATTCGACATTATAAAGACATGCTAAAGTGGGACAATTAACTCAATGGCTTTCCTGAGTGAATGTCACATTCGATTTTTATCTGAATCCCAATAAGAAATGGTTTGTTGACATGTTAACTGAGGTAACTGCATTTAAAGGCAAACCACTCTGATGAGCGAGTAAACATTTCTTACTTGTTCTGTGGGGAGCAAGGTCTGGTCAGATACTGGCACATCGGCAGCAGGAGGAATGCAAAAGCGATGGTGGCTAGAACTGTTGAGGAAAAACAAACAGAAACAATTCCGCAAATATTACTCAAGCACGCTCCAGCGCAGCGTGTAAACTAGGTCAGTGTGTTAGAAAGGAGCGGTGGAAGGTCACTGGTGTGTTTGCATGTGGCACGTACCTGCAGTGCATATGGTGAACACCACCTGAACAGAGTCGAAGAAGAAAAACATGACGAGCAGAGACACTGAGGCTCCGATGGGCAGGAACAGTGCCTGTGTGGAGTCTATGGTCTGAATACCTGTGCAAACAAACACACAATCATATGAGGATTCAGGTTCTGTTCAGAAGAGCATCCTAACATACTACTGCAACTGCATGCTATACTGTATCCCACAATGCACTCCACCTTCCACTTCTAGTGTGATTAATAAAGCAGAAGTAATTATAGCTGTTTTTAATCCCTTTTGTGATAGAAATGTTTTATGCAATGGCCTTAGAATTGGTCAAAAGTGTATTTTAACATGGAACGTGCAGAAAAGTGCAGACTAAGGATGGTCAGGTCAAAGATAGGGATGCTCATTTCGGTTAATTTTACCGACAGACAACCGCCGCTCGTTATCCAAGTATTACCCGTTAACTGATGAGATTATAATATTGAATTAAATAAAAATAAAATTGACGAGTGTCTGTGACCCGTTAAAAAAAATAAAAAAAAAAAAATTCACGGGTTTATTTTAGCGTGCAAACAGCAGCATACAGAACAGATCAACAACAGAACCTGGATTCACATCAAATTTTCACACACTTGCAGCATTTCTGACACTGACAGAGAAAAACAGAATAAAATAGTATAAATAAAAAACATCAAATAGGCCTACACACTAATTTTTTTTTAAATTTAAATTAAGATGACAAAAAGAAAATACTGAATCCGTTTAAAGCTTTGAAAACCCGCCAATTTTTTTCCGTCAGACTAAGTTTTTTCGTCAAATAAAAATAGCAGGCCTACCTCAAACCACACAGAGTCTAATTTATTTATTTATTTAAAAGTAACATGTCTACATGATGTGGGGTTAGTCTGGAGCACAGCCTGTTGACAGTTAGACCCGCGGCAGAAAACACCCTCTCTGATGGCACAGATGTCCCGGGAATACAGAGCTAACGTCTCGCTAGAGTGGCCAGCTTCGGGAAGCGCCTTTCATTTGCTTGTGGATGTTTGCTTCGCAAGTGATTTTGCATTGTACTTGTACTACTGCTGTATTTTAATACCGCATAGCATGTTTTGCTGTCGAAATGGTCCCACACAGTAGCCTACTTTTCGCTCACATCATTTTGCTTGCTCAGCGAAATATGTCTATAGGCACGTGTGGTTGCGCATGTCAACACGCCCTGTGAGTTAACAAATATAGGCTAGATAATATTTTTTTAACCATGCAGCAAACTAACTTTGACTTCCTGACATTAACGATAAGTCCGTCACAGCCTGCGTGATTTTGCCACTTTCTGGGGAGTTTTTTTCCCCCTGCGATTAACGACTGATAAAATGTTGGTCGAAACAAGCCTCTTCTAGTATTAACGGTTATTCATCTAATAGGGGGCAGCCCTATTACAAACCAGTCACCTGAACAGTATAACCAATTACAGTGAAGACTTGATATTTATACTCAACTGTAAGATATAAATGTATTCATAAAAGTATCTTTCTGTCCAGAGAAACTCCGACCAGTGATCTCCTGGCCGTGAATAAAACTTCTTCCTTATTGAATAAAACGTAACGTTGTGTCTGGTAAATGCTGTGCAGCTACAGAATAGAAGTACTAAAGATTCTCCGCTCAGCAGAAACAGAAGACTATAGACCCGCACTCGGGCTGGCTACTCGCCAGTCGCGGGCCGATCTCGATCACGCGACACCGTTACTACACAGCGCTGGGAAATCCAGCTAAGAAATCCATTGAATTCGCCAGAGAATTAATAACATCGCTGCGAGATCAGGCGAGAAACATTCAGATTCAACGCAGAGTTCTCAGCTTTAAACCATAGATATCAGTTCAAACAGCGCCATGAATGAACAAGATATAGAAGGCTTTAAGTCCACAAATCACCAACATTCACCATGGATTTAATGTAGTAACACTAACCGTAACTACACATCTTTTTCCAGCACTTCAAAACTATATCATATTTATGTTTTTTTTATGTGATGACCCAAAATTTTTTTGTTCATCCTTCAAAGACTGTCCCAATTATAAAACTAAAAGTTTCAAATTGTAGGAAAACACACTTATTTCAAAATAAAAAAATATTAAATTACAATTGTAAACAGTAGGCAGCTGCAGAGGACACTTATTGGATATTTTCAGTCCCTAATATCTATGTTTTTCCACTCGTTTTGGTTTTGAATTAATATTAAGACATAATGAATGATAACAATTAAAGTAAGTAAGCTCAGTGCTTTATTGTCAGCCCCGCATTGCTACCAAATACTTTCTGTAACAGTGGCTCTGGTGCTGCCCTCAAACGTTAGTCTTGTGAACTTCAAATAAAACTGCATATTGTAATTTCTGTACGTTAAGTCTATTTATTATCAAAGCATTTGTCAGTAATACAGATATTTTGGGGGAAAATGTGAACAATTGCAATGCAAGCTGATTTAAGGTGTGCCCCTAAATTTTCTGCTTGCGCTCCTAAAATGTTTAGTCAGGGGCAACAGCGCTCCTAGTAAAAACAGTTAGTCTTGAGAGAGTACAGATGCTAAAGACCTGTGTGCTCACGTGTGACTGAGGTAGTGACAGTAGCTTCTTATACTTCAGGGAAATATTGTATTGTAAGTATTCGGGAAGGGAATTCTCTCGAGATACTGTAGTATATGATTTTATTATATTAAGAGCGGTAAGCTGCTTGAATTATCCGAGGTGAAGGAGGCAGATTACTAGGCTGTATTCGTATTGAGAATTTCCACAGCACTTTCTTGGCTCATGACTAGGGATGGGACGATTACCGGTTTCACGATAAACCACGATAAAATGTCCTGGCGGTTAGTATTATCGTTTAAAATTTAATTATCATAAAAACCGTGTTTGATTATCGTGATTTTGAAAACTCGCGGTAAATCCTGTCCAGCCAGAATCAGTCTGACGCAGGCACGAGCAGGCGCGCAGATGCAATGTTGTTTTTTTGCGTGAGAACACATGGCGGAAGGCAGTGACAGCGCACGGGAGATTTTTCAGCCATTAAAGAGGACAAAATCGGAGGTATGGTCGTATTTTGGCTATTACAAGAGTCCCAAGGCCAATTAAATCGAGGATGGGCACCCTGTCTGCAAATCTTGCTAGAGGAAAGTCGCTGCAAAAGGGGGAAACACGTCAAATCTGCTAAGTCATCTAACGTTACGTGACAACCACCCACTGAGTTAATTTTTACCTTAATACCACAACTAACTTGGTCAAATAATTAGACAAATTTATTGGAGATCAATTATTTCATTATCTCACTTGTAATTATTGCAAAGCTTCCGCGAAGAGAAAAGTTTTACAGCAAGTGGATTTGAGCCAAGACGAACGAACATATTCAAACTATTAATTAAGGGTGACATTGAAGGGATAATGTATTGTATTCATCAATAGTAAACTTATTACAGTTTTATTTTTTATTTTTTTACCACAGAAATAATTTCAGGGACATGAAATATTGAATTGTGGTTAACTTAATGTTTTTAAATCTTACCGGTTTATAAATCCATTATACAAGTTACAGTGTCCAAATCAATCGTAAAGTAAATGTGATCACTACAACAATATTGTAGTAGTATTAATACTAAAATACTCTGTTTTAATTTTCAATACAATCAAAACTGAGACGCAAGACATTCACATCTGAATGAAACCAGAGATTGCGTCCGCGGTGATCCGAGACATGGATGTGCGCTGTGTAGTGCGTTGCTATTTACAACAGTCATTATAAGTAGCCTATTCCAGTAGTTTAGTCACCCTGACCCAACCAACATATTTTGTTCATTTAAAGTGTGTGTGCGTGCGTGCGCGCGTGTGTGTGTGTGTGTGAGAGAGAAAGTGATTTATTTATTAATAATAATAATATTCAGTCATACACACATCCATAAGTGTTATTATCATTATTAATGATAGGGTTTAATGACGAGTATATTAAAACCTGCACTAGGAAAACTTATACCTCTCACTCTCAGGGCTCCATGTTAATGTTAATATAATGTTTATGCTTAAAAAAGTGCATATAGCTGCTAATTGTATTTTTTGTTTGTTGATTTTCAAATGTTTTCAGGGTGAGCATCAGTTCTTTTTGAACATTTCCATCTCATTTTAACAAAACCGTGATAATATTGATAATCGTGATAACTTTGGTCACTATAATCGTGATATGAAATTTTCATACCGTCCCATCCCTACTCATGACTAGTAACTAGTTCAGGACTCACTGTTGTTAGTGTTGGTATTGTTGAAGGAGCCAGGGTTGGTGGGGTTTCCATCCTTGTCCTTCTCCTGGTTCTCACAGTCCATGTTTAATGACCTGTGTGGACAGACACAGTTTATCCACAATCCACAACTTTTCCGGCCCCTAAGTGAACCAACATTGGACAAAACCAGGGTGCCTGAGCTTTATGCTCTATGACGGAGGTTTTGGACAAGTCACAGATGGCATATTTAACTTGAAGAGAAATTAAAGGCTATAAGGAGCAGAAGTACAGTCCATTTAATAGTGATGTACCGATCATGATTTTTCATGGTCAATTATGATTGCTGATTTTCGACCGGTCCATCTCTACTTTTTAATATGTTATACTGTTTTAACCACATCTAAATTCAGTCCATGAGTCCATGATTATGAGAGTTGTTGTCCACTGAAAATTGGGAAAGATATAATTTCAAGGCTTAATCAGATAAACAATTGACACTTCTGTACCTCATAGCTTCATTTTCTTTGACGACAAATTAAATTTGTCATATAGAAAAACAACTATGCCCACTGATTCATTCAATAGATATGTTTAATAGTCCAGGTTCTAAGTGTAGATTTTTTTCTGCCAAGCCAGGCAAGTAATTATTTTTCACTTGTCATGACAATGTTCATCGGCTACATCACATAAAACAATACATTTTATAAGCATTTTTAAAATATGTTCCAGAAAAAAAAACATTGAAAGAAAAATGTAAATATTTTTGAGGAAAATAAGTATATAATTCCCTGTATAATAAATATTTGTGAACACACAGGTTCAAAAGATTTCTTTAATATTTTACAAAGAAGTCTCTTTTGCTCACCAAGACTGCATTCATTTGATCAAAAATACAGTAAAAACAGAAATATTATTACAATTTATAAGAACATTTTCTATTGTAATATATTTTCAAATGTAATTTATTCCTGTGACGCAAAGCTGAATTTCCAGCATCAGCACTCCAGTCTTCAGTCACATGATCTTTTTTCCATGATTCTTTAAGTAATTGAAAGTTCAAAAGAACAGCATTTATTAGAGATGCACCGATTGATCCGGCTGGTGACCGGAATCGGCCGATTTTCACGTGATCGGCCATGATCGGCGACCGGCCGGTCAGTCTGACAATGCCGATTTTATGCCGGTCAAATGCACTCAGTCTCGGGCGCCGCATGATTAACATCGCGCAACATCAGCACCACACGTGCACACGGAACACACGTGTAGGAAACCTCGTGAATTACGACCGTTTCACACCGCAAGCGTGAGCAGCGGGGATTTTTTTTCTTCGGCGTGCATGTTAATCAATGAGTGCATTCACACCGGGAGGTCAAGCAGGAGCGTCGCGTGAGCAAAGCGCGGGTTTCAGCGCCGAGTCTATTCTGCTCGCGCTCAATTAAAGTGAAAGCATACTTTTGATGGACAAAATAAATATGATTTCACCCCAAAAAGTGCCCAAAATGCACAGAATTTGCACGTCTGGTGTATTTTAACAAGAACTGAAGTAGCCAGGCTATGTCAGAAAAGAAAATTAAGACTCAAAAATATTTATAGAAAATAACTTGTTTTTATTCCCAATCGTTTCCCTGCACATGCTCCACTTGTCCTGTTTAGCCTGGCTGGACATGTGTCAGAGAGAAAAACTGTTTGAGAAATACAACTTGCCATTGATGTACAAGTGATTGCAATAGGCCTGTGTGTGTGTGTGTTTGTGTGTTGAGAAATATATACTGCAAGGGTAGGCTATATTTATTTTATTTTTATTTGTTATTATTTATATATTGTTTTATTGGCATTACCTGTTTTCATACAAAAGTTTAGTTTGCTAAATATATAAAAAAATTTTAGTTGGATATTGGATGTGAAAAGGAAATGGTTCTTCCATAACACTGCACTTTAGATGTGTGTGGATTTCCCACACCAGGAGTAATTTATATAGTCCTATTTTATAGCGATTATCTGGTAAAAAAAAGTTCTATGCAAAATGTTCTATTAAAGAGAAGATAGAAAATAAATATTTGTGTGTGCTGTAAAGTGGTTTAAAAAAAAAGGAAATCGGAATCGGCTAAAATCGGTATCGGCAGGTCAAATTCAAGAAAAATCGGAAATCGGAATCGGCCTAGAAAATTGTAATCGGTGCATCTCTAGCATTTATTAGAAAATAGAAATCTTTTGTATCATTATAAATGTCTGAAGTCACTTTTGATTAAGTTCATGTTTCCTTGCTGAATAAAAGTATTAATTTCTTTAAAAAACAAAAACAACTCTGCACCTTTGAACGGAAGTGTATGTATTATAATTTAAAAAAATATATATTTCCCTACAGAGAAGAGAAAATATGTTTCCATATAAATTAGGGTTGTGCCGATAGACGATATCATCGTCCATCGTGATGGCTGACAGACATCACGATGTTAAGCCAGCATCGCGACCGCCCCCCCCCCATGTTTCCATGGTGACGCGTCATGCTTGGCACGTGATTCACCACAGCCCAAATAGCGCTGTATGACAGATGTAATGTTAGCGCTTTTATTTCTAAATATTAACAAACCTGGTTACATACCATGTCATCAACTATCTTCTATTCTGATTCTCAAATGCGTGTAAGTGAGTTTGTTTTGTCGATTAAAAAACCTTTATAAATGATTTTGATCTGTAACGTGAGATTCCTGTCTGTTGGGTTTATTACAGCACGTGAATTCATCAGTTTCTCCCGAAATACATGGCCGGTGAACTGGGAGAAGAATAGAGTTAACTTTATAGTTACTTACACTGTGTGTCTGATATGAATAAAATCCGTCGGCAAATATATTTGAATGGGTTGTTATTGCTGCTTCCATAGACACCATTGTGTATTTTACAAACTATAAATGTATTCTTTTGCTATAAATTATATGTATTTAAATGTCTGAAACCTAAAATAAACATTATGTGGTTAAAAACACTGAATAGTTCTGATATATGACAAGCGCTGAGCGCGTCCGTCTTTGGCTCAACGCCAGCCACAGCGCGAAAGCACGCAGTTTGAATCTGGCAGTTCTGTCACGGCACTGTACATTCGCTCCTTAAGTGGTCAGCTGCTGCAGAGCGTGCCGAAATCGAAATTGCTGATGAGATGTAGAGAAAAATATATATCCGCGTTGTGCCTACGCCCCTTAGCTGTTCTAAATCCACTGTAAAACACGGCTTTGCCAGGCTCATTGCTTAAGTGAAAAATTTGAATGTTAGCCCCGCCCCTCCTCCCCTCCCGATATCATCGTCCATCGCGATGTTTCACTGTACACATCGTCTGATGCCAAATTGGTAGACATCACACAACCCTAATATAAATATATTTATTTTTCACTAAATATATTTATTTTTGACTAAAACTTTCATTTATGCATGGAAATTATACAGCTTATATTATATCATCAATGACTGCCTGCTATAAATTCATAAACTTTACTGCTCAGTTTAGAATTTCATTTCAAGTCATTCTCGCTATTTCAACACAAACTAATGCGTCAGCCAGCTAAATAACTTGTGACGTTTTAAAATCAACTTAATTCAACAATGCTCAAATCATCAGAAGCTCAAATGACTACGTTTGTACATGCAAAACATGCACAAGATCAACAAATATAATATTGTGTCAACGCAGCACGGGTTCAGTCCTAATAGCTGAGCCCTGAGTTCTGCAGCAGAAGAGATGAGAGCTCACCTGAAGCTGCCATACACGATGAGGAGGATGGAGATGAGGAAGGTCGACACCTGGCTGGAGTCCACAAGGGAGTACGCCCTGAGGAGAGGAGAAAGGAAGTTATTTTTTTTTTTCACAACAGCAACAAAAGGATGGGTACCAGATACATCATACATCAGACACAAAGACAGCCACCCTGTACAACCCTTCCTGGTTCAAACCCTGCCCTTGAATGTGCTCACTATTCACAGCATCAGCTATTGACCCAAGTGTGTGGGTGAAACGTGAATCAAAGCTCAGCCTGGTCGAGTTGTTACAGAGCTGTGCATGAGAAAGATCTCGTGTTACGGCATTCCCATCCTCCCAGAGCTCTGCCGAGCGTCTTGAGACCTGTGCTTGCCTTTTGTAAATAACAAGCTTTTAGAGAAAGAGGTCAGGCTTTACACTGTGTGCCAAGCAGACTCTTAAAATATGATTACAGCGAGCAAGTGACAGTTTGTTTTCTGGGAAAATAATGTGCGGCTGTGAACAAAAGCAGCAGACTTGATTGTGTGCGTTAATGTTGTGTGTATGAATAAGGAAAACGAGAGCGAGGAAAAGTAGGACGGGGCGCTGACCTTTTCCTCAAATGAAACTCTTTACTATGGACAATAAATGGTTTGAAGAAAAACACATTAGTAGTCACACACAGGCCTAACCTCGACTCTATACGTAATGATCCGGAAACACAGAATAGACGTACAATCGGACTGTAGAAAGGACAAAAAGCGAGGTGAAGAGGACGAGGGGTGTTTGAGGATGTGGGTGTGACGGGTTGACACTTAGCCTTGGTTCAAAGGCAGGCGTGAAGAATGTGTGCAGGCTCAGTGAGGGCCGTCTGGCTCCCAAAACCCTATAAACCCATAACAGCTCAACTGAGCTCTGTGTTTCAGAGAGCACAAGTGCCCACTGGGAAAGAAAACCACATGTAAGGCTTAAACATGGTTATTTAGCCATTTTCATTCAAACAGACTTTATTATCTTCAATTCCTGAGGTTAAATAAACTATTTACATAATTAGTGGTTTTAGCGAAGGCAAGCATGGACATGCATGGAAGAAAGGACCAGACCAGAACATTATACAGACTTAAAGGTGGGCCCTTTTGATTTAGGCTAGTAAGCCACCACCTACCAACCACCCAGAAACACCCTAGCAACTCTACATAGCACTACTCGCATTTTCTTATGCAAAAGTTTTATTGCATATTACTCCGGTTAGTGTGGTGTGATACTCTTGTGAAGAGATACGAACAGACAAGCTAAAGTCTATGGAAGTGTATTGTTGTCAAAGTTTAAACATGAGTGCATATTCAATGTGAACATCCTTCTGGTTATTTCTGTTTTCTCTTGTTGTAGGGTACAACATGTACTTCTATTAACCGTGATTTTAAGATTCTTTGTATTGTGTTTTGTGCACATAATAGTAGAGGTGCTGAAATTAATTGTTGCATCGATGCAGTAACAGACGGCCACTGACGTTTCTCCGATGTCATTCGTCACATGGTAAATGGACTGCATTTATATAGCGCTTTTTCACAGACCCAATGGCCACCAAAGCGCTTTACATATTGCCTCACATTCACTCACTCACACATACGCGCTTACTCGTGCTAACGCAAAATGGCGGAGGGAGGCGAAACACAAAAGAGTAATATTGAAAAGTGAGGATGCAACACATCGTGATATCGATCAAAGACATGATAATAGTAATCGAATTGAATCGTGAGACCAGTGAAGATTCACACCCCTACATAATACTGTGAACAGAAAGAAAATGGTACTTCATGAATATTTGAACTGAACACACAGTTTTTACATGCGTTTATGTTATTATAGTAATGGCAAATGAAAGAAAAGTGTTTTACATGCTGGCATAAATGCATTTACACAACTGGAATACTGGCAAAAATGCATTTACACAACAATTTCATAATGTTATGAGATTAAAGTGCCCCTATAATGCTGTTTTAAAGGCTCCTGATTTTGTTTTGGAGGTCTCCTACAACAGGTTTACCAGTACAATCCTCAGTGATTATACGCACTGTAAAGATAGCAACCGCAGCGTCGATTTTACCATGTTAATCCGAGCGCGAGTCCGATGATGAAACATTGAAAGAACTAGTTATTCAACCCGAACCTCCATCGCAAGGATGACTTGAGCAGGACGTTTCTCAGTGGTACGCTACTTACATTGAGTTACATTATGAGACTCCTCACCATCATTATTAACAAGTGTATGTCCATCAACAAACCGACGAGTATATTTCTAATTTATTGCGGTGCACATGCGGGAACTGTATCAATAACAACGCATACATTGGCCAAGCACTAACGTGATTAACTGATGTAACAAAGTCAGTAAAAAAATCTTGCCCCATGCTTTATCTTTACTCAAAGTAATAAGAACGACAGACAATCTGCATTAATGGACAGTTTCAGGTAATAGTGGCCCACAGCTGAATAGTATTTCAGTAGGGGTGTAACGGTACACAAAAATCACGGTTCGGTACGTACCTCGGTTTTAAAGTCACGGTTCGGTACGTTTTCGATACAGCAAAAAGAAAGAAATGCCAGAGAAATTTCTTATTTGTTAAAAGAAAAAAATATTTTTAAATAACTGAGTTTTCCTACATCTTGAAACTTTCAGATTTATAAATGGGGGTCATCTTTGAAGGATGAACAAATAATGTTTTGGTCATCACATTAAAAATAACATTAAAATATATATATATATTTATTTATATATTATTTGAGTTTTGAAGAGCTGGAAAAAGATGTGTGAAGTACTTGAAAGCAGTTCACTATTCCAGCCAAACTGGTTACAGTTAGTGTTAGCCTACTATATTAAATCCATGGTGAATGTTGCTGGTCTGTGGACGTAAAGTTACTAGTTCATTCACGGCACAATGTTTCTCCTGGTGTCCACGTCAGCGCTGTTTGATCTAATAGAGATATATGGTTAATAACGGAGAAATGTGAATGCTTCTCACTAGATCTCGCAGCGATGTTATTACTTCAGTGGCGAATTAAAATGTTTTCTTTACTGGATCTCTTAGCGCTGTGTTGTAACAGTGTCGCTTGATCGAGATCGGCTCGCGCTGCACAGATGTTGCTGGTCAAACGATCCGTGAAGCACAATATAATGAGTAGCGCAGTTTCGTTCCGCTTTCATTACGTTTGCCATTTGATGTTGCGCAACGTTGTGGTGATCGCGCCAGCGCGAATTTTGTCGGCAAGAAAAATGGTCCAAGGAATCGTTCGGTTTGTATGCGTACCGAACCGGAAGCCTCGAACCGAAACGGTTCAATACGAATACATGTACCGTTACACCCCTATATTTCCAGAACTTGCCGGAGACCTACACAATATAAAACACAAAACTACGTATTTAGAACACCCGTTAGTTATGAGTGGATCATGTATTGTATGTTTTATGTTTTATTTAAACGGATAAACGATAAATTGAGCTCCCTCTTACATCCGTTAACTTGGGTTGATGGTTTTAACGGTTTATTTTCAAATCTTCAGCCATCACAGACAAGGAGTATTATTAATCTAAGTAAATATGTTTAAATGCCTGTCTTTTCAAATGTCTATTTCATCAATTGTATTGTACTGTATTGTTATAAAATGAGTATGAGTATTGTAATGAGAAAGGGCATTTAAATATCCATGACTTTGACATGTTTAAATGCCTTTTATTGTAAGAGTACAGATGAAGAAGAGTAGCTGTAAAGATGTACTTTCAGTTTTGTTATGTTTCTGTAACAAGTTATTGTAAAAAACATACATTCATGGTGATCTATCATTGAAGAAGTTGCTTTCATTATTTCTCTCCTTTTTCAGGAGGACTACACACAGCATTTTATAGCATTAGAGTTAAGAATTCATTAAACGATTACATGCAAGTCTGTAGGTATGAAAAGGTTTTCTTCAATACCAATTTGGTGTAGTGACAAGCCTAATTACTATTGGGTTATGTGCATCACTGCCACTGTTAAAATATACATATAAATGACATGATTTAAGATTTAGCTGTAAGGGTTTTAGCCCAGCCCTAAGAATCTGACCTGAAAAGTTAATTGAAAGTCATAATACTTCTACAAAAGACATACTTTTAAGAAAAACACTGGTTTATTTATTCTTATTTAGACGATCATTCATTTATTAATTTAAATGAATGAAGTAGACATTTAAACTGTGATCTCATAGGTCAGAGAGTGACTGAAAGGAGGTGTGTGCAGATGCATGTCCTGGTAGATTACACATGCTGTGATTTACATGATTGAATGGTCTGAATTCTTATGGGCTTCATTCTTGCACTAGTGCCATACAAAGGCCTTTTGCACACAAAAAAAGGAGGTATGTGCAACTTCTCATGTCAGTGACACACTTTCAGTATTTGACTCCAGACAGACATTTCAATTGAGATTTCAGGACACTGTCAATGCTGTACTGTTCACTTAATCTAACAGCTGATTGTTGCAATAGACAGTCCCTGTAAATATACATGAGGGTGCTGGGAGGCAGAACACTGGTTTGTTGATTGCATTTTTGCTTATATAGTCACTAGAGGCCAAAACTGCAGGAGCTATGGGTGTTAATTCGGTGAAAGTGCAACAAAATACTATGACTTATTTGAATATTATTATTATTAAATATATTACACACACACCAGTAAAAATTCACAGTTCCTGGTATCATAGCAAAACCATTTTATTTTAATACTATTTAACTGTTTGAAAATAAAAATATTAAATAAATGAAACTAGTTCATTATTAATACTAATAATTATAAGTAAATAATAGATTAAAACATTAGCACAGTCATACAAATATTGTTCAATTAAGTAAATATTGCATTAAAAGATTAAAGGAAAAGTAAAAAAAACTTAAAAAAAAAAAAACTATTGCAGGTCTATTACAGTTACACTGCAAAACTTAATGCACAGATCTACTTTCTACAATAATCTAGTAAATCATTGTTTTTAAATGATACAATTAATAGACTGTCCTCTACAATGGAGAACACTACTTAGGCCAAGGAAGAAAAAAACCCC